ACCGAGCACCGCAATTTTAGCAAGATTCATTATCCTGATATTCAGCAAAGTCTCTCGGCTGTAAGTTTTGCACAACAAACATCTGGGATAGAAGAGACACTCAAAACTTTCACTCTCGCAGTCTCCTGAAGGGGCCGATGCATCCATGCGTGCCACCATCTCTTGTAATCTTGTAACACTAATGGGTCACATGACACCGGGCTAATGGCTAATGGGCCTAATTTGGACATTTTCACACAGTGGTGTATTCACTTTTGTTGCCAGCAGTTTAGACATTAATGGCTGTGTATTGAATTATTTTGAGGTGACAGTAAATTTACAGTTATACAAGATATACACTGATTACTTTATGTTGAAGCAAAGTGTCATTTCTTTAGTGTTGTCCCATGAAAATATATAATAAAATATTTGCACAAATGTGACACAGTTTTGTGACATACTGTGTGTGTGTCTAATAATTGTAACAAGGCTGCAAGGTGGTGCAGTTGGTAGCACTGTTGCCTCGCAGAAAGAAGGTGGGAGCACCAGGATCTTTCTGTGTAGAGTTTGCATGTTCTCCCCGTGCAGCGTGGATTCTCTCCGGGTTCTCTGGCTTCTTACCACAGTCTAAAAACATGTTGAGGTTAGTTGGTGATTCTAAATTGTCCGTAGGTGTGAATGTGAGTGTGCTTGGTTGTCTGTCTCTAAGTGTAGACTGTGATGGACTGGCGACCCCCTGAACTCCTAAATAAACAAACAAAACACATCTGTTACAGAAGCACTGCGGGTTTAAATAGGAACAGCTGCACATTTCCACAGCTAAACCACAGCAGCAGCCGAAGCCTGAGCAGTAAAAATATCCAGCAACAGTTTCACCATCACAACCAGCAAGAGCTGCAGCTGCTTGCAACCTTTTTCCTCTTCTAATTCTGAGGGAAATTTCTGGCCCTTCAGCTGCTAAATTCTCCACTATGCTGATCTGTTAATCTCTAACTGGGTCTGTCTGTTGTTCGGGGTTGAGCAGGTTGTGTGAATTTTTTAAGTTTGCTTTTCTCTGAAAACAGCTACCTGCTGCAGCTGAAAATGCCTCTTTGAGAGCAAATAGTATAGCAAAACAACTGTGTGCAGACAGGTAACCAATGAGGTGAAATCCATAAAGCTCTTTAAAGCTCATCACAGCTGCAGATTCAGGGGATTTTTCTCTGTTGACTCATGACCATAACTGATGTCTTTCACATTGTCACATTGTTTTCAAATTGTCATTTGGTATATTGTTTGGATACCCCAAGCTTTTGGTTGAGGTCAAGAAGAGATGGTGTTCTGGGGTGTGCATTGCAACATCCACTAAACTGTTGAAGCACAGTCTAAACTCAAACGTGGGATGCATGACATGAACCTCTGTCCCTTGCGTCCTCAGCTTTATACACCAAACAACTGTCTTTGGTAAATATAATCTAGGTTGAAATACACTCAACCAAGAATGTATTTACTGCTGCAAGTTTGTTCTATACAAACATATCTTGTGTAGCCAGAATTTGACAAGTTTTCCATGGTAAAAATGCTACAGGAGTCAAAGTAATTATAAACGTATGTATAAACAGAGCTGTGTCTCAGGTGTTTTGTGGAACAGACGTTCACTCCAATGGAGGTTGAAGTGCAGATATTGCCCATATGTGTGCGCGTGTGTGTGTATATAGTGTGTATAGAGAACAGACTAAGTGCCCGGGCTGGGCGAGTATGCTTTATCATTACAGGGTCCTGGTGTTTGCCATTGGCTCAGGATTTATGTGAGCCCTTTGCTATTAAACACACACGCACACACGCACGTACAACGAGAGCTGATTATTCTTGCATCCCATTCAGTAGAGCACTTCTTTTCTATTAAGCTCTGTGGGTGTGTGTGTATGTGTGTTTGTGTGATGTAATGCCATTATCTTTGCTTGCCTGTCTCTCCATTTTTACTGTCCTGTCTTCAATCAGTACTTAGCCTGCATACATCTCTGAACTCTCCTTCCATTATTGGTTTCCTCTCTCTCTCTCTCTCTCTCTCTCTCTCTCTCTGTCTCTCTATGAGTACAAATGCTGCTACCTTCAGCACTTCTCTTTCATTGATCGGGCAGATTTAGCTGACATCATTGTTCCATCTCCATGTCTTTCTTGTTCATTCTTTCATTATGTGGATCAACTCATTCAACAACACACCGGTACAGTTCTAAACACTGACAGATGGTTATATCCCAGAGAAAAGCTCAATATC